GTCCCATAGTTATGGTATGTTTTATTGTCTTTATAGTTTATCTGTAAAAACTGTCTAATTTCTTCTTTAATTTCATCTGAGACTCATGGGTTGCTTAGGGCGGTGCTATTTAATTTTCATGTTTTATTAATTTTCATAATTTTATGAATTTTTTGTCATTTCTTTTGCCATGCATTTCCCCCAGCCCCCGCATTTCCAATTTCAATGCATTGTGGTCTGGTAGTATGCATGGAATAATTTTAATTCCTTCACATTTATTTAAGCATGTTCTTTGAACCAGTTTGTGATCTATATTGGAGAATATCCTGTGTGCAGCTGAAAAGAACGTGTATTCTGATGCTGTGGGGTGGAACACACTATAGATATCTACTCAGTTCATTTGTGCAAAAGTTTTGTTCAAATCTTATATTTTATTATTTTTTGTCTAGTTAATCTGTCTGGTATTAGAGTTTATTTGATTTTTCATGTTCATTAGTATTTGTTTTATATAGCGGGTACACTATATATATTTTATATATATTTGCTGCATATTATTTATGATTGTTATCTCTTCTTCTTGGATTGTTCCATTCATGAGAAAATAGTGACTTTGTCTCAATCAGTCTTGGCTTGAAATTCACTTTGTCTGTAAATAGAATAGCTATTCCTGTTTTTTTCTGGGTTTCTGTCACATGGAGTATTGTTTTCCACCCTTTGATTTTCAGTCTATGAATTTCTTTTTGAATTACATGTGTTTCTTGTATGCAGCATATTGTTAGATCTTGTTTTTTGGTTCATTCTGCAGCCTGTGTCTTTTGATGGTGAACTGAGACCATTAACACTGACGGTTGTAATTGATGCATACTGACTTATCCTTGTCATGACTTTGCCTGTTGTTAGCTTCCCTCTCTTTATTTCCCTTCCCTCTAATTGTTTGCTTTGCCTAGTGGATTCCTTCTGTTGGGACTCATGGCACTGTAGTCCTTATTATCTCTTTCTGGAATGTCTTTCAGGACATTTTGGAGAGCTGGTTTGGTGGTTATAAATTTCCTCAGCAGTTCTTTGTCATGGAAGTATCTTAATTCTCCATCAGTTTTGAAAGATACGTTTGCAGGCTACTTCAATCTGGGCTGAAAGTTGTTTTCCTTTTATTTTATTTTATATTGTTTGATATTACTTGATATTATTTTATACTAGATGGTGGGCACAAAACAATCCTTAATAAAGTTGACAATTAGCTTCACTCAGAACATTTTTTTAAAAGTTTTTCTGGAGACCTGGTCTCGCTAAGCAGTTCAGGATGGCCTTAAACTCACTTTGTAACACAGGCTGGTCTTGAACTCACAATAATCCTCCTGCCTCAGCTTCCTGAGCGGTAGGATTGCAAACATGCACCACCGCACTTGGTCTACACAGAACATTTTTAATAATGTACATTAAAAAGAAGTATTCATGTTAGAAATTGTTTTGCAACCCCGATACACAACAGCTTGGCAAACAATGTTTAGGAAGCAAAGCAAGTATAAAAAGACAGTGAAACACCTACAACAGTACAGGTTTTTATGGCTCAGAGTCTACAGTTTTCTCACTGCATCGTCAGTGTCAGAATCTACTCCTCCCGCTGGCTCCACTGCTCCGGATCTAAAGAAATATCTTTTCTTCCTGTTTTACTTTGCCTTCTGGACCTACCCAACATTCTCTAGAACTTTCTCCTTTAAAATCCCGAGCACTGACATATGTCATTTTTCCAGTCAGGAGCATGTTATCATTCCCTGGCTCTACTAGATGACCACAGAGCCCTCCAAGTCTCCCCCTTGTCCTGGGGCAACTTGCTTTCTCCTCTTTAACTTTTTTTTTTTTTTTTTTTTTTTTTTTGGTCTTTTTCATTTTTATCGGTAGCAGGGATCGAACTCACGACTGCCTGCTTGCAAGGCAGGTGCTTATGCCACTGAGCTAAATCCCCAGCCCCTCCTCTTTAACTTTTTGACAGCTTCACATCAGAGCTGCTGTCTGAAGAGCGTGAAGAAACAAGTTCCTTAGATTCAGGAATCGCTCCTCTGCTGCAGTCCGCGGCCTCCTGCTTGCTCGCTGTGTTCCTGTAGACCTTGGAGCACTTCACTCCTAGCTCCCCTTGACTTCAGAGTTTGTGCTGAGAAGTCAGCTGTGATTCTTTTTTTTTTTGGTGCCTGGAATCAAACTCATGACCTTGCACTTGCCAGGTAGGCACTGGCCGTGGAGCTATATCGCCAGCCCCTACCTGTGATTCTGATGTCTTTCCTTTATAGGTGATTTGTTCTTTTCCCTAACAGCTTTTATTTGTTTATTTGTTTGTTTTTTGCTTTTTTCTGGTACCAGGAATCGAACTCACAACCTTGCACTAGCCAGGCAGGTGTTTTATGTTGCTGAGCTAAATCCCCAGCTCCCTAACAGTTTTTAAGATTCTATTCTTGGGGCTGGAGATTTAGCTCAGCGGCATTACAAGCATGTGGTTGTGATTTTGATCCCTGGTACTGGTAAAAAAAAAAAAAAGATTCCACTCTTGTGTTGAACTTCTGGAATCGTGACTATGATGTGCCTGGCTGTAGAATTTTTCGGGACACTGCTGACTGCAGTTCTACAAGCCTCATTTATCTGTATGTCAAATTCTTTTTCTCTACTAGGAAAGTTTTCCACCATGATGTCTGTGAACATTTTCTTGATGGCATTTGTGGTATCTCCTGCTTTTTCATTGACTCCAATCACTCTTTAGTTATTCTGTCTTGTCTAGCAGCTGCTGGACTGATTTCTCATGGTTCCTTGCTACTTTTGAGAAATCTTTCTTTTTCTGATTGCTAACTGCAAGCCCGTCTTCAGAGATCCTATTGTCACAGTGCTCAATCTACTTCAAATACTGTCAGTGGAATTTTTACTCTCCTGGATGTCTGCTTGAATCTGCGTCATGGATTGCATCTCTTTCCTATGCTGAGCTCCCATAATTTTCTTAAGCTTGCCTATCTTGTTGTTGTCTCTGTCCGTTCCAGCATCACTAACCTTGGTCATTTTGTATGTCATCTCTGTAGTTATCTAGAGATTATTTCTGATTTCATTTCTTCCAGATCTTCGCTTAATTGCTGTGTTGTTAATGCTTCAGGGAGGCCTGGTGGGGGATTTTCTGATTGTCTCACCTCATTGCTTCCTGGATTTGCCTTTGGCGAACTTAGTGTCTGGGGTTGCATTTTGTGTAAATGTCTTCTCATTTTTTCTTTTCTTTCTTTCTTTTTTTAAGTTTAATTCCTGATGCCTGTAAATTGCCTATGGTGGGCTGCTTTATTGCTAGTGTTTAGGATTCTTAGGTGATGACTACTTCTCTGAGGTAGCTTTCAGGTATAGCTGGTTTTTGGGTTTTGAGTCTTTTGTAAGATCGTACCTCTTGAGTTTGTTGGAGATAGAAAGTTTTTGTTTGGCCCAATTCCTAGTTCTTTGGCACTGTGGTACAGAATTTCCCGTGACTCTTAGTTAGTCTTGGTCATGGAATACCAGGAGCAACAACTGTTTAGAGTAATTATGTTAATTTTGGCTACAGTGGTACCGATAGCATCAAACATAGCCCAGAAAATGATAAGCTAAGTTAACCCTTAATTTGTCACTTTTAACAATATAAACTAGATTTGTGGTTGTATAACAAAATCTAGAACAAACCAAAAAATTATATGCTGTATAAAATGATGTGTCAATTTTGCTCTTGGGAGTTAAAATTTAATATAGTTGAAGGAGAAAACAGAGAATTGGAAAATGAGGAGGCCATTAGAAGTAAGGTTGGAAGACCGAGAGGGATCACGCTAACTGTGGGGAACCAGTTTGGAAGAACCTGGAGGGAAAGAGAAAAGGAAGAGACGGAAAGAACAGAACAGAGGCACAGAGAGGCGAGAAAACACGTGCACACATACAAAAATAAGAAGGAGAAAGAAAAAGTAAACAGAAACTCAAAATGAAAGACAAACCTGACAGAGAGGAGAGAGAAGACAGAAACACAAAAGGCCACTTCCAGGTTTGTCCCGGTTTCTCTACCATTTCTCTGGCAGACAACCTGTGGAGGCAGACCCGACCCGAGCCCCTCCATCCCAGCAGGCCAGCAGCAGCTTTCTGGTGGGGTGGTGGGTAGGCTCAGGGAGCCTGCGCTGGCTGGTGGAGACCCGTCCTTGGCTCACTGTCTTCTGATAGTGAGCACCTCCCAAGGGTCTGGGCCCTGCTGGCAGCCCCTAGAGGAAGCCACCCGCAGCTCTGAGTTCTGATCTCAGGCTGCCCATCTCCGGATGGCTTCAGGCCAACTGTTTTGTCCCATGGCAAGAGCGAGACCCCTGCATGCACTGCTAGTCAGCGTGGTCCTTCACGTCCACTGCTCCCATCCAGTGACTGTGAATCCGCAGGTCCAAACGCTCCTTTCGTGCAGTGCAGTGAGTCCCGTCTCAGGGACAGGCACTGCTGGCCACCTCCGTCACTGGAGCTTCTCCCTTCACTCTCTCCGGGGCTTCAATCATGCTTCAGACTGTCCCTGGTCCAGGCCACCCGCTTTCCTCCTTCCTGTCTTCCTCACCGTGCTGCATTCCAGTGCCTGGAGGGCGACTCTCAGAGGGCAATTTCTCTGCTGCTTGGTGCTCGGCCACCGTCCCCGGGTGTACTAAACTCCTGGCGACATCCTCACGCCCACAGTACTCACTCTCGCAGACTGAACCACACAGCTTAGTTCTACTTTGTGGCCTAAGCGTCACTGATCTAGAATGCAGCTCTTCTGAGAGCGGGAATCTTACTTTCTTGTTGCGTTATGCACTGTTACAGTCCATCACCTGGCGAACGGTCTAATCGTAGTAGGACCTAATATATTCAATGAGGTGGGTAAGTACTCCTGCATCAGCCGCTGTGCCAGGCCGTGCAGGTGAGAGGATGGACCCAGGAGTCTAACATGAGAAAGAGCTCTGAGGACCACCTGGAACAAGGCAGGGTCATGGTCTGTAGGGCAGGGGCCCCCACCCCAAGCTGCTTACCAGGACTAGGACTGGTCCCCACGCATGGCCGGGGGTGGACGGGCTACAAGCTTCATCAGCACTGGAAGTGTTGCCCCTCAGTGGGAGGGTTAGCCCACAGCAGATGCTTGCAGGAGCTGGAACCCACTGTGAACTGCACCTGCCAGGGATCTCGGCTTCCAGCTCCTCCTGGGAACGCAACCTGGAGCCCATCGCCTCCCCATGCTGGTTCCTGGCAAAAGAAAATTGTCTTCCGTGAACCTGGTCCCTGGTGCCAAAGTATGGAGTAGGAAGACGATTAGAGGAAATGAATTTGCTCTATGCAACATTTTCCATTAGTACTTAACGTGCATGTTGCTTTCCTAGAAGGCATTTAGTTTGATAGAATGCTTTTACGGGAAAGAGTTCTACGACCTTACACTCAGGACTATTTCTAATCACGTCTGTACCTGGGATCACATGAATATACCAAATACGTGACTGAGTTTTAGTAGGTCTGCTTTTAGGACAATGCTGGACGTTAGTATTACCTGAATGAGACCTGTAATGATACAAATAAGCAATCTGAAATGGAACGCTGAGAGCTAAACACTAAGGGCCTACAAGCTTTCCTCAAAAGTATGAAACGTTCCTATTTGGAAACATAATATGGCTGACAACTGTAATCCTTCCCCTAACACATTACTCAAAATTATGTGCGAACTGTATATGCAAGCAGAAAGAACTCAGCGTAAGAATGTCAGTGTCACCCTCTCGCGTCCCCCACACCATGCTAAACGGGGAAAACAGAGCTGTAGTGGCATTTGGGCCTCGTGCATCGAGGCTATCTGATGGGGCTAAACCCAGTGCTGGGTCAGTCACATGTCTGCTGATTCTCTGGAGATGAGGAGGGGCAGGTTGAATCCTGGTGCTGCTGATCAGTCCAGACCAGGAGAGTTCTGACAAAGCCTCAGATGAGTAAACAAGCTGGAAGGCTTCCCCTCTTGGCTACAAGTCTACAGAAAATGGTGAGCAAACCGTAAGAAAGTTATTTATGATTTCTCTGTCTTTTCTTTCATTAATTAAAGGTCTGAAAATCTTTGCAACTTTTCCATATTTCCGTGTGAAAAATATTTTAAATATTAGTGCAATTTAAGTATTTTATTGAATAGTCTCTCTCATTTCTCACTTCTGAAGTCTTCTAAATGTAAATTTCTAAAAGTGTGAATTGAGTATTAATTTTATTCTCGATATTATAGGAAAGAACAAGCTCAAACTGAAATGTATTTATATTTAATGTATTTATAAATAAATAAACTATAAATGTGATTATAGTTTTAATTCAGAGGCTTTAACTCTACTGTTATCTTTTACTATACTTCTTTCTAACCAGAAAATTATTTACTGTGACATAATCATTCCAGAAGAAAAACTTAAAATATTGACTATTATTCTATTGCAAAGTAGTCTGGACTGCTGGAAGAATTATAGAAATAAGAAGTACTCCGATTTCAGCATGCTTAGAATTTGCTACATGGCAAACAATTTCCTAGGCATGGAATCATCTTGTCAGATTTCCTCTAACGAGAATGTGTTGTTTGACAGTGAACACTTATCCATACAGCCCTGTAGCAGGCAGCTCTAGAACACAAAACACAGGAATTATATCCTTAGAAATAGAATACTGACCGATTTTCACACTTCTCTGCCCTCCCCTGTTGACTCCTCTAACTGGCCCATTTTTTCTTGCCTCGTTTATTCCCTTGCTATCTTCTTTTTTATTTATTTTTATCCGCACAAGCCAAAAAGACACTTGTATTGAAAGAACACTGGGATTTCTACCAAAATTCAGCAGCCGCTTGTCCTGAAAGGAGTAAGACATCCCTGAGTAAACCAGGAACACTTGCTTTTCCCTTCTGATTTCTGCTGCTCTCTGGGTCCCGGTTACTATTGTTAGTATGTTTAAATCCAGCCTCCCAGACTGGCTCTCTTGGCCTCCATGTGCAGATACGGAAGATGGCAGACACGTAAGTCTTGAATTTACAACCCCAGGTTCAAGTTGCATCGCCTCCACTGATTGAATCCGAATGTCCAACTCCTTGCAGAGAAGATGGGGAACTTCGGCCCGGGCTTATTTATGGTCCAGTCGGTTGTGGGCAGCAGGGAGGATCTAGTAATAACCATCTGCCTGTCAAGGGGGAACCCTGGGTGGGCTATAGGGAGGGAAGGCGTCTGAGGCGTGGGCAGGGGCTTTCGCTTGGTGGGCTTCCTGGGCACTGCCAAGGGCCAACCTGGGGTCAACTTGTCAGGCTGAAGCCTTCAGCCCCCACCACTGTATGCACATTTGTTAACAGAGTCGTAGAATTTGGACCCAGCAACACAGCTCATGTCCTCTCTCTTCCTGTTATGTGGACTCCTCAGCTTTGAGTGGGGTAGGTCTCTAATCCCGTCTGTGTGCAACGTTTGATGATTAAGAACTAAAACACATTTTTGGAATGTATACATGGACCGATATATTAAGGAACATTTAGATTCACAGTTAATATGGTTATGTGTTTGACTGAGTGTTAGCAGTAACATTTGTCCATAATAAAGGAAACAGACACGAAGATTATCTTCTCAGGGCACAGAGTCTTGCTATGTTGCCCAGGCTGGCTGTCAGCTCATAGGCTTGAGCCGTCTCCCTGCCTCAGCCTGCTGGGTAGCTGAGACTACCAGTGTGTTCTGTCACACGCGGCTACCGTCTCCATTTCACAGACAGTGGATTCTATGTCTTGTGAAGATGGCATTATCGAGATAAGCTTCTTTTATCATAAAATCTGTCCACTTTAAAAGGCATAGTTCAGCAAATCTTAGCATATTCACAGGGTTTATTGTAACCTTAGTGTTTGAACGTTTCACCCACCCCAGAACGGTCTGGGACCCTCTAGCAGCATTCCTGTTTCCCCACCCTCCTGTCCTCCACCAGCACTTTCAGCCTTTGTGGGTTTGCCTAGTCCGATCGTTCACCCAAGGAGTCACACGCCGCGTGGCCCTGGTGCCTGGTCACACGCCCTCGGGCCTGGTCACACGCCGCGTGGCCCTGGTGCCTGGTCACACGCCCTCGGGCCTGGTCACACGCCGCATGGCCCTGGTGCCTGGTCACACGCCCTCGGGCCTGGTCACACGCCCCGTGGCCCTGGTGCCTGGTCACACGCCGCGTGGCCCTGGTGCCTGGCTTCTTTGGCGTAGCACACGTGCTTCCAGCTTTACTCCCACACACAGTACACGCCACTTCAGCTGTGTGGTCGTGTCGTATTTCACTCCTCATTTATCGGCTGATGGGCTTCCAGTTGCCTTCGCCTTGAGGACACTCTCAGGGTGCCACTATGGACACCAGTGTGAGGCTTTCAGCACTGTAGTTCTTCTGAGTAAGCAAACCTCTAAGTGTAACTAGAATTTCGGGGTCAGAAGTCGATGCTGTGTTGCATTTTTGACCTATTCCTGTTACCCTGTCGCTCTGGGGGGGTGAGGAGGCAGAGTGGATCACTGTAGGTTTGAGGCTAACCTCAGCTACACAGGGAATTCATGATTACAATGAACTACATAGTGAGACTTTGTCTCAAAAAAAAAAAAAAAAAAAAGAAAGAAAGAAACAAAACAAGACAAAAAGCAGACATCTTTTCACAAAAGCATGAATTTCTTGACATCAAGCAGAAAACGGGTGACATCATTATTCCATAGGGAAATGCAGATACATATTCCAGTGAACTCTCACTCATAAGCACTAGAAGGATACATTATAGTAAGTATTGGCTAAAATGTGGACAATTTCAGATCTCCCCCCTTTTTTTCTTAAGATGGGGTTTCACTATGCAGTTCAGGTTGGTTTTAAACTCACTTTGTAGCCCAGGCTGGCCTTGAACTATCAGAAATCCTCTTGCCTCAGCCTCCTGAGTGCTAGGATTACTAATGCTCCACTACATCCAGCCTGGGCTCCATTATTTTCATAAGCATTCACAGTCTGTGACTAATCGGAGTAGTTGTTTATGAACTGACCAGCTCACTGCTGCCTTAGCCATCATATAATTGAATTTTTAACATTATTTCTGAAGGAATAATACACTCAAATGCTATAGATAGATAAACATATGCAAACAAGCAAGCATCATAATTTAAATTCTTTAAAATTGTTTTTGAAGAAATGATACCTATGCTTTTTTTTTTTTTAAAGAATAAATGAAGCCAGGGATTTAGCTTAGAAGCAAAAGTGCCTCCTGTCAGACAAAAGGTTGTGAGTTCAATTCCCAGTACAAAAAAAAAAAAAAAAAAAGAGTAGTACATAGTCTAATTTCCAAGTAAAACTTCTTCCGCTCCCGATGCCCCACTTGTAAGCTACCTTCTACATACTATGTTTTGCTTTTCAAAAACTCTTCAGTCCTACAAATTTCTTCAAATAAATATTCTCTTTAAAATATTTCCACCAAGGTAGCATTCTCTTCAGACTACACAATACCGTGCTTTTTGTTTTCAAATGCACTCAAATATTCTTGAAATACTTGAAATACTCTATGAAATACACAAGATGTGCTGTTTTAGTAAACTGTAAAAGAAGCCACAAACAGGAGAGCAGACTTGGTTACCTTGTTTTAAAGGTACATAGAACAGAACAAATGATTCAAAAGATTAAAAGATCAATAAAAGCAACAATTTGTAACAAATACATTTTCCTTCTTTAAATTTTATCTTGAGGATTACCTTTACAATTTCTTCTTTATTCATTACAAAGGCTGTATGATATTCTCTTTTATGATTATGTCATAGAATAGATAGTGGAATTTTGTATTAACACTCATATTTTAAATTGTTTAGGGCTGGGGATGTAGCTCAGTGGCACCACATGCCTGCCTAGCAAGTGCAAGGTCGAGTTCAGTTCCTGGTACCAAAAAAAAAATCATTTACACATCTTTTATTCATATTTATTAATATCTACTCCTTTTGTATTTTTATCTTTGCTTTTCTCTTACTAAAGCATGCATAGTACTATTTTCTACTTTTGATTCAGTGATAACGGAATAACATGTCCCCTAAAATAGTAGAGGAAAATCATTTTCTTTGGTTTCCTAAAAATATAAGCAATAATATACAATTTAGATAAAATACATGTATATAAAGATTTATTATAAAAGTATACAAATATAATTTATGTGATCTGATTATATACAAATATAATTTATGAGAATATTTCCAAAATATGTTTACATATGTTAGAAA